GTTTTGGTTGGCTTCACTAACATGTAAGAGGAAGGATAATGTCATTGAATTGCGTAACTTATTCCTCAGAAATGGTCACTCTAGGTCACTCAAAGTGGTCAGTCACTCAAAACCCCTGCATTCGAAACCACGAATGACTGTCAACCGGCATCACAAGATTGGCATTTAAATTCCGCTGAACTACCCTCTTGAATCGTAATGCATTGCGCTTGGAACTGACTAGACACCGCCTCGAAACAACCAACTTCATCGGACTTTGGTAATCCGTCGTTTTTGCTAGATGCAGGGTTGTTGAACCCAGGATGAACCTGTTCAGATTTAATGTGTACACATTCATCGATCATCGAATCTTCCTCTAGTGCATGAATGAACAAAGCCGTTGAGCTACTTCTGACTTTATAGACCTCCAAAAATCCATAAACCAAAAGTCCTGGTTAGACGGATGGTAGGCAGAATAGGTTCCCCACTGCATGAACTGGCCAGATTCTTGGCAGGCAATTTAAAGCCCCACACCGGGAAATCTAGTGGTTACATTTTCAATTCACGTGCCTTAGCCACCGAAGTAGCGGGTGTCCCTGTTCAACCAGATAACATTCTTGTAAGTTTGGATGTGAATTCGTTATGTTCAAAATTGCCAAGAACCGACATTTTAGAAATAGCCAATCGCCAGTTATTAGCAAACACCATCATTTCTGAACGGACTCAGCTTACGCCAGGTAAAATAGTGTAATGTAGAAAAGCATGTCTCAATCTCATCTACTTTGTTTTTTGACTCAGTGGTTTATAATCAAGATAAAGGTCCAACAATGAAATCTCAAATACTACTGGTTTAGGCAAACATTTACGGAAACATTTGAACAGAGCGCTTAAGCCGGATTTCCATGCCCGCCCAAGATATTCCGGCCGTGTGCAGGTGACACTTTCGTCATGATGGAACGAGAAGGACCTAGTGAGTTTCGCAATTATCTGAATGAACTGCGCCCACACATCAAATTTGGTATCGTGAGAGAGCCAACGTCGGGTGCACTGGCCTTTTTAGAGTGCAATCATATAAGGTGGGGGGAAATTAGAGACGAGAAGCCAACCGACACTGCGGATGTTTTGAGCTACTGGTCGGCCCATTCGGAATCGGTATTCGCTAGCATTGCCCCATCAGTGTTTAAGCGTGTAAGGGCTTGTGCACAGGTGCAGCTGATCGAACAACGGCCAAAATTGAATTGAATAGCAGACTTCGGAATGGTGAATATCTAGCTAGCTTGCTTAGGCGTCTCTTGCGAAGGTGTTGGTACCTGTTGAGAGACACAACAGGAACATCCGATGTCATTCAAAGAATCTCATTCACGGCTGACATAAGAGTAGCTTTCCAGTGAGAGAACACTTTGCGCTCTACACTGGTGCGGTTGACCGATTACATCATGGCAAACAGAACCAGAGATTATCTACAAAACTAAGTGTAACGAATGCACCAAGGACAGACGGGCAGGGCGCTACATTGCAGAATCGGAGAGCATGGTAGTAAACTAAACAGGCCGCCGACAATCGCAAAAGAATATCAAGCGTTCCTAAAAGACTCAGCAATTACGGATAATGCACTGCATACGGGACACAAAATAGATTTAGAACATGTTGAGATTATGGGGCGAAGATCACGGTCAACGTCACAGAGACTGATAGCTGGGGCGGTAGAAATCGCCAAACATCCAAGGGTTAACAGAATAGAAAGAGATGAACTGGCAAGCGTGTGGAGGACGGCTTCTGATCAGTCAGGCTGACACGTGTTGGTGTGCGGTAAACAGAAAGAGGAGTAATCATCGTCGGAAGTCCACTTGACCTCAAACTTTACGCTCAAATTAAATTGTCGGAGCACTCGCAACCCCACAAAGAAAAAGGAAAGTCTGCCAATGACAACCGAGTTGAACCATCAACTGAAGCACCTTGAAATGGAGCATTAACGATCCAAACTCGAGCAGAATTGATTTAAACCTCGTCCAACCCACTAAAGTAAGATTTTGTCAACCACAGTAACCGAAAAGAGCCTTAATTCACACTCAACACTGATCCAGTGTGACTGTTTGAAGGGGGCCCAGTGATTGTTTCCCCGACTTTCTTATAACCTGACCTATTTGACGACCTGCTCACTTGGCCTTATGTGGCTTTTGTTTCAAAAGCGGACCGTTGCCCAAATAAACACTACCGATGTTCTGCGAAACCAATCTGAAACGTACAACATCTCGCTTATCCTGGAATGTGTTCAATTTCATAATGTTTCATACCATCTCAGCGTAGCACACAGTCTTCTGAGAAGTAAACAAATGATTAAATTATCAATTGCCTGTGTATAATTTTGAAGGACAAGATTTTCAAACTTGAATTTTCCAAGCGGATGAGGAAACGAAGCACAAATGATCTTTACGCGATTTTTCACACGTAGCATAAATGTGGACTTTGGTTGGAACAAGTCCTGTCACAAAACACAAACTTGTCCATATTCAAATAGGTTCGTAATTCACCTCATCAGCAAAGTTTGGCAAGTCACTGAAATTCGTGTGTTGTTTTACTGCCAAAGCACTGTATAATGTATGGCGAAGGAGTGACGATGACGTCAATTGGTGCAAAGCTGACGCCAGTTTACGCCGAGTCAGATGTACAAATAAGAAATGCGATTTCACAAGTGAGATTATTGTTATTGTTGCGTAGCCAAGTTTCCAAAAATAACTGCACCAAAAGCGAAAGCGAAAGCGGTATGCAACCAATTCCATATGAAAAAAATTAGTACATAAAAGGCGATAACTTGTTTCACCGCAGTCACCGATGAATTTGCGGAAATTTTTGAAAAATCGATGACATGCGAAACTGCGACTACAACTTGATCCATTTATTCACCTACTCAAACATTGTAGGTAATTTACAATGATTCAGTTGATGGTTCGATGCCCCACGCAACAAACACAGGCTCCTGTGAAACTCTCAGAACGGTAAATACGCAGTCAAGGATGTCTCGTATAAACTTGCAGTCTTTCCCAGAATGGAGGCAAAAATTAGACGAATAAATACTAAGAAAGACCCGACATCTGGGTGAGCGGTAACCACGACCCACCCGTAGTCACACATCCGAGATTTCATGAGACCTTGGTTTGGACATAGAAAACTTTTGTGTAAAGTGATAAAAATTGACTGTGTTTATTCGTAGCCCTTGAACTTCTCGCAGCGGTCACAGATCCTTACAATTCTTGTTTGAAAATAACCCACGTTTCAGACGCTGCAAGACATGTTGGGTACCGATGTCAGTCGCGTGCAAGTTATCGCCCTCACTCAAGGAACATGGTTAAGCTTCAACTCCGCCGTAGAAAGCTGCTTTTAGAAGTTCAGTTTGGCTTAGGAGCTCAGGATATTCCAGAAATTACTGACCGTGTTTGGAATCCAGCCCCGGCAACTCGACTTGTCCTCATTTCTTTTTCCCGTGGAGAAAAACGTTTTCCAGTTGTTGCCGGTGGATGCGGACGAGTGAGCTTTCGGTCGTACGACCGTTGAGCATTGGGTTCTATGGCCAAACTTCGACATCTGTTACATAATGAAGTGTCCTCCTTCTCACTAACTTTGATATATAAACATTCAGGCAAGTCAGGCAATCCCAATGTGTTGGTATTGTGGTGATGGACTTCTTTTTACTAATATAACTTGTAGTATGCTGGTACATGCCAAAAAAATGCGCGAGGTTAACTGGCTGTTGGAAACCGGAAGATGGGAAATACGAGACTGTTAATGCTCGACGGTATGGTGTGTTGAATAAGGAGATCTTGTGCATGCCGAGAATTCTGATGCGCTGAAGCTTTCAGAGGAACCCATTTTGCCCACCTTTTAAATAATCTTTTGCATTTCATAAGAGGAAACCCTCCTTTATTCGCCTACCGAACAATTAGGTAAACGTTGATCCAAGAGCAGCTGATCAATAGAGCGGTTAGCTTTCAGTTGGACTGAATTTAGCGTCAATCATCATTCAATCACAGAAATCAAAACACATGGTCACATATTGTTCACACTTTCCTCGAGTAACGACGTATAATAACAGCGTTTCAGTCATCTTACAAAACCTTTCTTTCTCTGTCCAATAGTTTGTAACTGGTCAGTTGGCATTTTGTAGTAAAGTAATCCGCAAGGAAGGCATTATTCCTCTTAGTTGGTGCCGTGAACAAGATAATGATCAATATTCCTTGGCCACAAACCTTTGAAGATGAGATGTTCAAACATTCATGGAGGAATGTAAAGAGGTCGAGGAGGCCACCGGAAAAGAGACCGACCAAAATAAGTTCGCGACGCTAAAGATCCTCCTCAAAGGTCGGGTTTAGGCCACACCGGATGCTTCCAGAAGAGGTTGTTGGAAGATGGACTGGGACTCCGCAAAGGAGGTTCTTGTAGCGGAGTTCGACAGGCCATCCGACCGCCCTGGTGACAAGGTATGGCGAAATCAAACTTGACGGTTATCCAAGCGCTGCCGTGATGCTGGTCTGCGGATGAACGAAGCCAAAACAAAGTTCCCGCGAAGGTAGGTGTCACCGCTGGATCATTAAATGGGTCACGGAGAAGTTAGCCCACTGCCTAAAGAATTGGTTAGGATCAAGGAATGTGCTGTCTTTGGACGAGCAGCATACTACAGCCGGTTTGTTAAGGATTATAGAACGATCGCTGCAACAGTTTGACCTGCTCGTGCAAACTCGGAAACTTGAACGCATGCGGATGTTGGATCAGCAACTGACCATCAAACTGCCTAGGTTCGGGGAGATGTTCACTTTTGCAAAGGACGCTGGATCAGCAACTGACCATCAAACTGCCTAGTTTCGGAGATATGTTCACTTTTCCGATGGACGCCAGCGATCGCGGCATTGTAGCAGTCATAAAGCAGAGGAATGGGGTTACGGAATATGCCCGTCGTGTTCTGACTAACGCTGAACAGAAGTACTCGACCACCGAGAATGTTTAGCGATCGTCTGAGCCCTGATTAAATGAAGGCCATATCCGCCTTGGCGGAGGTTTCATATCGAAACCGATACCAACACTTGAAGTGGGTGAGGGCCACCAGAAATGCTCAAAAAAGGCTCGCGTGCTGGGTACTCCGATTGCAAGAGTACAATTCCACAAATCAGCACGTGCCAGGGAAGGAGAACTACTTCGCTGACTTAAAAGTACTCATAAAACCAGCCCATACGTGAAAACAATGTTGTAGATTCAGATTGCTACTGATTACTTCCTGATGCGCATGGACGCTCAAGGACGTCTTAGAAAACATCATAAATCACCAATGTGCAAGCATTGTTATAATAAGTTTGTGCAACTGATCAGTCATTAAACAAGCTGATCAAAATGGCCAACCATGCTCTGATTAGCATAAACTTTGTATAGCAGACGTAACAGATTCGCGGTGGATAGCTTTTTTACATTATCGTCATACATTTGTAAGGCAAAGTTCTATTCGCATGAGGCGAACAAGATAAAATTACGAGCCCATGGAGCTTCAAGTAACCCTGAATATTATGCATCGTTGTTCGCTTCTAATTGCATTCTAGTTCTGCATCGACCACGTTGGGCTGTTGGAAGCCATCGGTGTCCAGAATTGGTCATCCATATTTAACAGTAATCCGTCGAAGAGCTGGGCTGTCCTTGTCGCTGGTTCCAACATCTGGGAAAATTATCGACATCAAGTAGGTTTCCGTTGGTTGTTAATTGCTTTGAGGCTCAAACGTTCATCTAAATCCCGTAGGAAATAGTTTTCAAAGTGAAAGTTTGCAATAATATTTCCCCAAACTGTTTCGTCCACTTGTTGTCCCCATTGCTGATATATTTCGCTCGAAAAGGCGGAGGACAGAAGCCAATAGACACACCAATGAACACAAATTCCGTGGCCTGCGTACGTTTTTGTCATTACTTCCTTGTCGTAAAACGATATTTTGTTTTGGGTAGGGTCGATTCTCCGATCCTATTATACTCCGAAGTTACTGAGTGCATAGTGTGATTCACGTTAATCTGAGTCCGACATCGTCACCCATTAGTGCTTTATGCTGCGTTATGTAAGGCGAAATGACGGCCTGTGAGTGGAAGGTATATGGTTTTATAAAACACGAATTCGATGGTTTTCCAGCCACCACTAATCATCTGACCTGACACTGTAACTTCGTTATATTAGAGAAACGCTTCCAGGATCCGCAATACCGTAGCCTAGAGAGACCTGCTGTATAAACCAGGTCTCAGAAAACTGAACAAAATCCACTGACGTACCAAGGACATTGGCTCTTACGGCGAAAGCAGCAAAATTGCGAGGACCGTAGCCTAGAGTGACCTGCTGTATAAATCAGGTCTCATAAATCTGAACAAAATCCACTGACGTACCAAGAACATTAGCTCTTACGGCGAAAGCAGCGGAATTGCGAGGCGATGTGAGCGGATAAATCTGTAATAATTAGTGAGATCAAGTAGCGTGTTTTTGGAATAAGTATATAGAAATCCATCTTGGTCAAATTCGTTCGTCCGCTCTTCATTCATTCGCATGGGATTATACGAGAACCGTTTTGAAAATCTAATATTACACATAATTAGTGCGTCTGTATCCATTCTCGAGATTGAGTGAGTAATATATTTTACCACTGAGTTTTGACGCCTTGTGATCATGTACCCAGTACACAAGCGAACGTCCGATTCGGATGTACTTTCGAAGTCAAAGGATACCAATATTTTGCTCGGACACTTGACTGAATGTAGAACTGTGGTCCACACAAGCCCTTCGAGAGTAGAATCATGCTACCTGTTCTTGGGTTAATGCAACCGAATGTGGTTTGATGAACTGATACTCCACCAAATATGGATTATCCTGCGCTCCCTGCATGCCTTCTTCAGACTCCATGTCACACCCTGCCTGTTATCCTTAATTCGCATGTCATTTGTGTTCTCATTCAGGCGGACGTTTGCCGCGCGTATCAAGTCGTGCGTGAAAACAATGTTCCACCGGAGAATATTATTACCTTCGCTTATGACGATGTTGCAAACAATCCCAAGTAAATATCGCGTACAATTTTCCCTATATGGTAGCAAATAGTGTGTAGAAAACGCGCTTTGTTGCTTGGCATTGACACGTCTCATTGTATTGCCGTATTTCTCATGTAAATAATTGTTGAATTTGGTTGCAGACATTGTGCGTCACTTCAGATGTCTTATCAGATTTTCATTAGGATGATGCCTTTTCATGACTGTAGACGCCATAGAACCCTGATGCAAGCTGCACACTCTGATGATGATGGTGATGATGATATGTGCTCGTTGAATACTCCTTTCCGCAGCCTGAAATGTCGCTTGAGTGCATCAGCCGGTTGATGATTAGGAGCAGAGCAGACAATTTAGTAAGCCAAACATTTTGAAATGTAGCCGTGGACGAGAAAAACATTCTAGAAGCAATAAAAGTTTGTTCTTGTGCGGAGACTGTAACAATCGTAAGTCGTTTATTGCCAAATCGTTCATTCAGCACTGTCATCTTTGGGGTGCCTGGCTGCCATGACACACGACGGTTGTACGAGGCCTAGGATACTGCCAGGTTTCCCAAGCCTCCCAAGAGGTCGGCAGACAGAGATATGGTGAAACGATGGAACTTCCGGTTGGTAAATTTGCGTTTTAGCCACTTGGGCCATCTCGTTTCCTGCACAACTGAATTACATTCGAGGGAACTTTATATGGGTATGCTACGGTAATCTACCACTGGTGATTGTCGAATGTAAATTTCCCTAAATAATTATATTTTTGGACCAAATTTATAATTTTCTTTGTTGTGCACTCTACGCAGATCATTGTAGGATACTTAAATTATTTCTTTGAATGTGTGACAGAACTGCACTCATCGTCGTGAAAATGTATTCCAAAACAAGCCTGCGAACCCGATTCAAAGAGAATCTATGAGCGTTTCATTTCTTTCCATTCGACCTACATGTTAATTTCTCCCGGACGACTCACTCCCACATTTCATTTTTTTAGTCCAGAAATCCGTTTGCAGGCAAAGTCTTCCATGACTACCACCACGTTAATGTCTACAATGGTGTGATAACTGAGTACCGAGGAAATGTAAACCTGTGTTCTGGTGCGCAGCAATCAAGTGAATTTCTTCACAAGTTCACCGTGTAACTCAAAGAGCAAGTGGAACTACACTGTGGATCAAAACAAAATACAAAACTTAGGGTATGCTAATTAGTTTCACTATGTTAAAGAACCGTCGATCCAATTGAGCGAACGCTAGTCATGAGGTCATAGAGAACTCTCAGACAGTTCATGACCGAGAGCAACCTTCTGCTTTTGCCCTATCAAGTAGTTTAGCGTCCTTGTCAAAAGAACCACGAAAAGTGCACGAGGACCAACAGTGCCCAAATAGCTTTCTCTGAGGAAATATCATGTGATATTCACGTTCAACCAAACTTCTAACACTGTGCTTGAGGAGCAAATCCAAATGGCATCTCGAGCAATCGACTCTTCAGTTTTCAGCCTACAGCGACCATCGCGGAAATAATGTGAGTGAAGATGAGTGAGATGAAGAGATTTCACCTATCTCTTAGGCTGAAGTATACCTGGTAGTGCTTCAGGGTAATCCATGCTCAACTCAACTACCAACCCTAGGCTTGAGGAGCAACTCCAAATGTCATGCTTGGCAAACAGATCAACAACTGAATTCTTCAGTTTTCAGCATACAGTGACCATTGCGGAAATAAAGTGAATGAAGTTGGGGAGCAGATCCTAGATTTAACTTAATTTCTATGGTGAAAGTGGATGGTTACTGTGAATAGAATGAGTTTGGAGAACACCAATGTCACAGGAATAATTGGTCATGCGCGTTCACCCGTTTTAGGGTGTCACACGGGATAACTTCGTGAAAGTATTAAAAGGCGATAAGAAACTTAAAGCCAACAGGAAGAAGGTACTGAAAAGGTGAGTTTGCGCGAAAGTGGATAATGTTGATGCACTTGCTGATGACAGCCAGAGTTCTAGTTTTGGGGGGTACCGTCTTCGGATCTACGAAATGCGTGTTTCGTATTCTCGTGAGTAACTTGTTACGTAATCCCTTTAAGTAGAGCTCCCAGATGTCTGTCAAAAGGATTTGCTTCACTCCGGGAGAAACTTGATTTTTCAATTTCAGATAATGGACATCGATCACCACTGTTAGGAAGTTTCCAACCTATTCAGATATGTGCAGTTCTGAGTGGTCAAATATTTGCTCAGACCTGTGCAATTTGTAAGCTCGTTGTTAGAATAGGCGATGACGGAGATGCAGGTTCATCCTAATGCATCTTTTTCTATAAAGGATCCAGCCGAAGGGATAAGCAACAGAAAGGAAGAAAGAAGGGGCGCGGAAAACCAGACCGCCGTTAGGGGAAGGACTTGGCAGAAAACGGCAAGCAGAAAGCTTCAAAAGAGGTTGATAGACAAACGGTAGTCTTCATTTGGGCAACAGTTCGCATTTGACGCAAACGTTTAATCAGGCCAAGTGATCGGGTCACCAAATTGCCCAGGATATAAGGCAGATGGGGAACCAATCACTAAGTCAGTCCTCTTCAGATTATCACACTAGGTCCGTGTTGAGTGTCAACCAGTGGCACTTATCGGTTAGTGAAGTTGTCAAAATCTTGCTTTTGTGGATTGGGTGGGTTTCAAATTAATTCTGACCGGGTTTGGTTCATTAATCTTCCACTTCAGGGTGCTTCAGGTGATGATTCAATTTACTTGCCTCCGGTTGATTTTCCCTGGACTTTGTGGGGTCGCGAGTGCTCCGACAGTTTAGTTTGAGGGGTTTGGGGTCAAGTAGACTTAAGGCAATGATTACTCTTCCTTCTGATGACCGAACATCAACACGTGTGAGCTCGACTGATCCAGAACAGTTCTCTACACGCTTTCCAGTTCAACACATTCTATTCTATTAATACTGGGGTGCGTAGCGATTTCCACTGCCTCGGCGATCAGTCTGTGTGTCGTAACCGTGGTCCTCGCCTCAAAACTCAACATTTTCTGAATCTATTTTGTGTCCCTTGTCGAGTGCGTAATCGCCGAGTCTTTCAGTAACGCTTGATACTCATCTGCGTTTCTCGGCGGCCTGTTTATTTCTCTCCTATGCTCTCACACTCTGATATGTAGTTCCAAATCTGTCTGTCGTACGTAAACCTTGGTGCAGTCATTACACTTATTTTTATAGGCACAGTCCCTGGTTCTGTTCGCCGGGAGGCGATCCTTTAATTGCACCAGTGTAGAGCACAGAGTGGTTTTCCACTGGAAAGTTACTCTTATGTTACCTGTGTTTAGAATTCTTCGAATTAACTCCGATGTCTCTGATTTATATGGAATAAGAGCGGTCTCGATCCATTTCCTGTTGGGTTTCGCTACCGGTACCAACACCCTTCGCAGTTGACGCATAATCAAGTTGGCGGGATATCCACTACCGCGAAGTTTGTTCTCTACCTCAAATCACTACCCCGAAGTTTGTTCTCTACCTCAAACTGAGCCGCTGTCCGATCACCTGCTTCTGGGCACAGAGCCCTTACACACCTAAACATTAATGAGGCAATACTGACAAACACCGACTTCGGATGGGTTGACGAGTATTTTACAACTGCCCCAGTGTCGGTTGGCTTCTCGTACACCGTGGTCTTTAGTTTTCCGCCGACATTATGTCTCATGCAGTCTAAAAAGGCCAGTTTACCCGAGGTTGAATGTATCTCCATCAGTCCACTGAGATATTTTTAAAATTCACTAAACTTATCTCGTTTCATCATGACGAAAGTGTCATCTACGTGACGCCACAATATCTTATTTGGATATAGGAATCCGACTAAAGCTCTCTGTTCAAATTCTTCCATAAATATATTTACTAAAACCGAGGACATTAGAGATCACATTGCTAGACCTTGTTCTTCAGTGTAAACCACGTTATCGAAAACAAAGTGGGTAGGATTCAGGCATGCATTTATGCCTTCCACCATTTCATCCACCGTGAGCTGTGTCCGTTCTGAAAGGGTAGTGTCTGCTAGTAGCAGCCGCTTAGCTATCTCTAAATAGACTCCTTTGGCCACATTTGTATGTAATGAAATGACATCGAAACATCCCGGAATGTCATCTGGTTCAACGGTAACCCCTGCTACTTTGTTGGCAAGTAAGTACTAGATTTCCCGGTGAGGGATTTTAAATTACCGGCCAAGAATCTGGCCAGTTCATGCGGCGGGGACCTATTCCGTCTACCATCGGTCTCACCGGGACATCTGGTTTATGGATTTTTGGAAGGCCGTACAATCGTGGTTGGATTGCACGTTTGGGATGCAGTCGATACCAGTTACCTTGCCCTACGTGTTTCATCGCGGACCGCAAATATTCGCCAACTTCGGCTCTATTCCGACTCAGTATGGACATAATTTGCGCATTATCGATCACCCGGTAAGGACCCTCAGTTAGGTGTTGCTTGACCTTCTGTAGATAATCACTCTTGGTCATTACAACAGTAGACTTACCTTTATCCGACTTTGTAATCACTATGTTGTCCACCCGTTTTTTGTGTTTTTAGGGCTCTTCACCCTGCTGGTGTATTATTTAGAATTTCTGGCTGCTGGGACTTGTTGACTGTGAGTAGCTTTACCCGTAGCTTCTTCGCCTCCATCGATGGGAGATTTTGGAGAACAGATTCAACGCCAGGGATTATTTTTTCCGCCCTTAACACCTTTTTGATTACTGCAAAATTCAAGCCTTTCTCTAACAGGCCACGCTTTTCCACACTAAGCGGTCTGTTTAATTGATTAACCACGCTACAATAGCTTGTGTGGGACTCAGTCTTATTTGCGGGTTCATCAGAATTCTGGGTTTTGAAAATAACTTTTCTAACAAACGAATTTGTCTATCCTTGCAGTGTTGTCCTTGGATGGCTTTAACTTCTGTTGCTTTGGTTAAGAGTACCATGAAGACTGCGGACGAGAGCACGATTTGAAGATTTTGGTTGAGCCGAAATGCGTGGTGACGGATAATAACACGGTCGGGTTAGA